TGAACAAGAAGACAAACCCTGGATCCTTGGGAGTAATGGCAAAATTTTGACAGGATTTTGAAACCAAGTTTCCAAAGCAGGTAAAGATGTGATTTGAAAGTGAGGTCAGGCTAGCCAGCCTCCTGTAAAATCTCAATCTTGGGGGCCTTCCTTATAGCCACCATTCTTTCCTAAACTAAATCAAATTCTAGAACAAGTGTCATGATTGTTTCCTTAATTGCTGAGAACAGCAGCAACTGAGTATCTCTACAAACTCCCATCCACTATCTATAAAATTACTGTACTGTACTAATCTGCCTGGAGGGTAAGTGGCTGCTGAACAGTACAGAGCTCTGTTCTTAAATACCTGTGCAGGTATACATCCTAACACCTGTCTACAGTTAAATTTGTAGATTTAACTGTAATGTTACATTTTATGTTTCCTGTAGCCATACTCATCAGCAGCACTGCATAGATCTCCTCTTCAAGTTAAACAACGGATCAAATGCAGGTAAATTAATACCTTGCACATGCATTTTTTTACTGGCAAGGTTTCTTAAAACAAAGCAAGCATTAAACCATGGGTGTTCCACTGAAAACCAAATCCGGAATTGGTTGTCTCGATGAAGAGTGACTGAAATGCCTGCCTAAGAAATTATGTTCCATAATCAAATTAAAATTTAAAAATCATGCTATGTTCATTAGATTTTGTTTCACATGGAAATAAGAACTTGTAATGCCTACTATTATCACCCAGCTAAGCCAATGCCAGCCTCAGCTACTTGTAAGTGCAAGTAATTAAACAGTGGAATTTGGCTCTTTTAAAGTACACTTGATTTTGTGAAGTTTCTGGAACTGGGTGGTGGCCGTGGGCTAGCATGTAACATAAAGCAATAGATCCAGCATAACAATGCAGCCAGCTTTCTCAGTGAATTAACACATGCCTCAATGAGGTACGCTCACCTGATGTGCACAAGCAAGCAACACCCACTGTGTAAAGCCAGGCTAGACAGTCCCTGTTCTCCCAGCCTTTCCTCATTTGGGAGATGCTCCAGTCCCTTCACCATCTCCATGGCCCTTTGTTGGATACTCTTCAGTATGCCCACATCTCCTCTCTTGTAACTGGGAGCCCAGAACTAGGCACAGCCCTCCAGCTGTGGCCTCACCCATGCTGA